CTACCAAGCCATTTTGTTCAGTAAACATTGTTATGAAATCAGTCCCTGAACTTCTCTTAATAGTACGAGACCTCAACTATTAAGTTTTTAACATTTAAAGACTAAACTTCTAATATTTTTACATTTAAGGATAGGGATGTTTCATTTTTTTTCCCTAAAATTCTACTTGCAGAGATCTAGAAATCATCGAGAAAATGTCAGTAGCAAAGTAGTGTCAGTACTGAATCAGAGATTCATAAATGGCTAAACCCCAAATCCACCCTCAAATAGGAGAGCAGTGACAGATCTCCTCAAAAAAAAAAAAAAAAAAGAGTACAAATTTGCTAGAATTTAAGAATCAACATGGGTAAAATTTAAAATATTAAGATATGACAAAATAAATAAATTGTGTACCTTAATATCCATAATCAGTATGTTCCCCAAAAATCATCAAGGATCATCATAATTTCATTCTACAAAACAAATATGATAAATATTGAGACTTAGGTCTTTCTCTTCCTATTCAATTTATGTATAGTGACAACTAATAAATCATATCACTCCCTAACTCTAACATTTAGAGGTAGGGATTTTTGAATGGGAGAGAACCTACCCATTATAATAATCTTTTGGGTACCCAGCAAGCAGTCCACTTTAATTTCCAGTCTTACATCTATTCACATCACACCATATTAAAACTAAGATAAAACTTAAACCCACTTAGATCACATAACTTTATTAGGATTTACCAGGTTTTCATTCAACCTAATTTTGAATACCAAATACAATTAACGAAAACCCACATAAATTTTCTAACATTTTCTCACTTGGGCAGCACTAACTGATTTTAAAATTTTGAAAACCATAATTTAAAAAATGACTCTTGAGTCAAATATAACAAATATAAAGTTAATGGCCACAAATATAAATCAAAATCATAGCACAAAATTCCATTCAATGAAAATATCAATACTGAACTATGTGGTCATTATACCACTAGCAACGCCAAACCCCTCATAATTACAAATATCAAATATCTCCACCAACATTAATTCCAATGGATGTGATAGTGTAGTGTGGTTTACCACAATGTGATCCATGTAATATATAACATATCAAAATCACAATGATCTTCTTTATGGTTTTAAAGAAACCCTTTATCAGGATGTAATCCCTTTTACACTTTCCTGATACATGTTAAAATTTAATGATCGACAATGTAGAATATAGGGTATTAAATATAATAAAATATATAAATTGCATACCTTAATCTCCATGATCAATATGTTATCTAAAGATCATCAAGAATCATCATAATTCCATTCTACAAAACAAATATGATTAGCATTAACACTTAACAAGGTTTTTTGAATGAAAGAGGAGACCTACCCATTACAATAATCTTTTAGGTACCACACCGAGTAGCCCACCTTTAATTCCAAACTATACACCAATTCATATCATATCATATAAAACAGAAATAAAACTTAAACTCACTTGGATCACATAACTTTATTGGGCTTTACTGGTTTTTCATTTGACCTAGTTTTAAAAACCAAATATAATTACCAGAAACCCACATAAAAATTTTCCAACAAAATTGCCCCTTCAAATTGTCGATATTTTCTAACAAAATTGCCCCTTCAAATTGTTGATCAAAACAAATTACCTGCGTGACGTCATCACATGTCAAGAATCTGTTTGCCACCTAAACTTGTTTTTAACAAAAAGCTAATTTGAGATAACATCACACATTAAATATTAGATGATTTGTCTTGATCAACAATTTGAAATGGCAATTTGTCCTTACTTTTTTTTCTAAGGTTAAATCTCTCCCTATCCTCTATTTGAGAGTGGATTTGGGAATTTAGCCTTCTTGAATAGCGCCCTTCATGGTATTAGTAATAATAAATTTTATTATCACATTCTCAGGTCAAAAGGAACTTTTGAGCAAGAAAATGGAAAACAGACTTCACATTGCACCACGTCATGCCGCTAAGTTCAAAAGAGGATTAGAATTTCTCGACTTATCATCAAGGCCACTCACACACAACAACAGGTTTCAAATCTTTGCCAACAATGGAAACCTTTGCATGGCAATGATAGGGCCAGATAACTTGGTTCTATCTTGGGTGGTCCATCGCACCTTTCAAAATGCTCCTTTATCTGTACATGCTGCCCAAATGGATGTGGCTGGGCTGCGCAACAGAGTAGAGAATATCAGAAGAGATAATCGACTTTGCATTAGGTTTCGTTGGAACCAGAACCACCCAAACATGCAGGAGCATGTTGCTATGGACTGGCAAAATAACACACTCACAATTTATAAACATGGACATTTGGTACAGCCGATGAACCTAAATTTCAACTTCCCTCACAGGCAAAGGATCAGGATCAATACTGTTGTTCTGAGGAGTCAACTTCAACAAATTTTTGGACCCTTCCACAACCACCCACAGCGTATTCCCTTTACTCTTTAACCCCCTGCCCCCTCATTTTTTTTTCTTTTGATGAATTTACTATGTGCACACTAATAAGCTGATTTCATTTTATGCAGACTTCCAGCAGAATGCAGACCACCCAGTGGAACTCACAGCAAGACAAAATGGTGCACTTGAGATCACCTCCCATAATACAAATGAAGCACATACCTTTGATCCGGTAAACTATAAACTCCCTCTTCTAAAAGCTCTATTTATAACTTGTATTCATTTAATCTTATTAACTTGTATAAATTTTTTTGACCAACAGAACTTCTATGAACACCTTGGAAATACATTGGAGCAAGATGTAAGCATCATATTCAGGCTACAAAGCCTCAGGTGCCTAGCTGAATATGGCGCTCAAATACAGCACCCATATACCATCCTGATGCTGACCCCACCATTTGAATTAATCATGGATAATGCTTTTGTATTCCCAAATGTACCAGCATTCACCACCAACCAAATCTAGGTCCCAATTCCACCCCCACAGTAAAGATCAGAGGCTATTGGAGACATCATTAGTGAATGATGTCACCAGTGCAGTGTACAAAATGCAATGCAAATGGTTTTGGTTTGTGAACTACATTATCTACCATTGCTGATTTCAGCATATTTCAAAACATTATTTTTGGCATGTATTGTCTTGCACATATACACCTCATGGTTCATATGCCCCACTACGTGGAATTAGAAATAGAATTGCAGAACGAATTGTATTGGAGGAAATATAAACTTTGTTCACTTATGTGTATGGATATTAGTTTTACCATATCTTGCTGTCCATTCATTATGCCTTAACACAGCTGAATAACAAAAGGCCAAACAAAGGGTAGTAGGAATACCTGGAATCCTCAGAGCAATCTCGGGTTATCCGGCTGTCTTTCAACAGAACCTGGCAAGACAATAAGTTAATTAGATTGCTTTGAACTATGAAAATAACCAAAGAGAAGTCATGCTCAACCCTCCAGCAACTCACACAGCAGTAAATCACACAGAACCCAAGAGTAAACCCAATGTTACAGGTCAAATTGTAAATGCCAAACTGAGGTGGTTGATGTTTTTGGAGTTGCAGTTGAATGTAATATTGTAAGAATCTCTATGGGCAAGTTGTTTGGCATGGGTAATCCTTTGGAACCTATGATGAATGATGATGAAGGCTATGTACAAGTGTTAAGCCCAAGAAAGAAAGTGTTTGGTCTTATAGCAGTATATAATCTCCTGTGAGATTTTAAGAAAAGCAGGAAGACTGTAAATTGAGATTGCTAACAGAGAAAAACATAAGCTTAACTTACTTCCAATAAAAAAGACACAATTGAAAGAGATATACCTTTTTCTGTGTACACCATCTTTGGAATTGGACATAAGCTCCCTTATGACAGGTCCCGGATCTCTGCAAACTTGAAAAAAATTAAATGTCCTTATGACAGGTCCCGGATCTCTGCAAACTTGAAAAAAATTAAATGTAAGTTAGAGGTATGACCAGAGCTAACGTAGAACAGAGAATCTTATACTTCTACTTAAGCAAGATCTAACCCCTTATCATCTCCTAGACCACCAAGAGTCAAAATCTTGGGATGCTATTAAGAGATCGCATCCCGTAATCAGATTCATGCAACCAGTGCTAAAAACCTCCGATACCCGTTGGATCTGAAAATCGACCTCGACCTTCTTCATCTAGTACATTGGAGTAGGCTCCAACCTTGGCGATGCCATGAATTGAGATCGTAGCCGAAAACAAAAAGATAATTGATTTTGATTTGTTGAAATAAGGAAGAAAACGAAGAAGAAAGGTGCGATGAGTATGAGTTTGGATAAGGAAGACGAAAGCAAAAATTTACCGTAGAGACGCATCCATTTTTAATTTGATAAAATCTTCCAAAGGAGGTTTCCACCCAACCAAGATAGTGGCCCTAGCCAGCGGTTCTCTGCTTTCTCCTTTCCTTTCCCTTTTTCCAACAGGGCCGAACGACACAGGACAACGTGCTTTCCGCCGGCCGGCTCTTCCCCTGCCCCGAGCCAACGTTGAGGTGAGATATTTGGACACCAGAACAGTGAATTCTTGACGCCTCCGTGGCGCCGGATTGATTCTCCCATGGCCCCGTCCGTTGCCCACAGAACAGATCCCGATTCACCGATCGGTGTTCCTTGGTGCCGGTGCGGCAGTGCCCTCCGCTGCCCCCTCCCCCCGCATCCATCGTTGGCTTCTCCATCACTGATAGGTCTAAGGGTGAGGCAATTTCATATTCCAGGAGAGCTAGTGAAACGATGGGGATAAGCTTCATCCTCGAGGGCGAAACGCTCAGATCGCCAGCTATGGACTCATCTTCCTTCCTATTGCTTACAACTTGCGGACCCACCGCATACCAATACTAGCAAATGAAAAAGAAAATTATGTTCGGAATTGAGGTCCCACCGCGCACCAATACTACCAAATTAAAAAGAAAATTATGTTCAGAATTGAGGTCCCACCGCATACCAATACTAACAAATTAAAAAGAAAATTATGTTTGGAATTGAGGTCCCACCGCATACCAATACTACCAAATTAAAAAGAAAATTATGTTCGGACCCACCGCATACCAATACTACCAAATTAAAAAGAAAATTATGTTCGGAATTAAGGTCCCACCACATACCAATACTACCAAATGAAAAAGAAAATTACGTTCGGAATTAAGGTCCCACCGCATACCAATACTACCAATGAAAAGAAAATTATGTTCGGAATTAAGGTCCCACCGCATACCAATACTAGCAAATGAAAAAGAAAATTATGTTCCGAATTGTGGTCCCACCGCATACCAATACTACCAAATTAAAAAAAAAATTATGTTCGGAATTAAGGTCCCACCACATACCAATACTACCAAATGAAAAAGAAAATTATGTTCGGAATTAAGGTCCCACCGCATACCAATACTACCAAATTAAAAAGAAAATTATGTTCGGAATTGAGGTCTCACCGCATACCAATACTACCAAATGAAAAAGAAAATTATGTTCGGAATTGTGGTCCCACCGCATACCAATACTACCAAATTAAAAAGAAAATTATGTTCGGAATTAAGGTCC